ATTTTTTTAATTGCAAAATGTTATAAAACAGAAAAAAATATAATTATATTATAAAAATACACTTATAAAACAAAAATTAAGGCTTACCATAGAACTGAACCGCATTTAAAAGATAAAATAGGTAATCCATTCCATGGTATTGCTCTGAAACAAAAGGAAATCATTGCTACATTGTTACATTCTCTTGTATAATTATAGAAAATAGAACAAGATTGAGTAAGGGACAATTAATTCTATATGGATACCGATATTATTATCGATAATACTGTTTAATATTATAGTTCCTTTTAGTCGCCTCTTTGCGTGTGTGTCATCAAATGCAAATTTTTACAAATTTTGAAATTTATTTTCTTTCAAAATTAAGTCTATTTCATTAAGGAGGGTTCGGTGCAACTGGCGGTGAAAGAATTTTTGCGCTTTCATTAATAGTTTGCTAGATATGCTCTCCTAAACGTTTAATCCTTGATTTCAACTTTAACACTACCCCAAAACATTCGCCAGCGATTTGATTGTTGATTACAACATATTCAGTAAAACATATGATAATATTTTCAGCATGAGCACGTTTTATCTTTTATTGAAACGACGAATGAAAATTTCATTTATTTCTCGGTTATGTATTCAGTGTTCTCGTTCTCGTTGCCTTTGGTATTTGTTTTTGAACATCTTTCTCTGATATACAAATACGAGAAAACTCCGAATGTATAATTTATATACACCATCCGAGGAAGCCTTGATTATTTATTCAGACAAAGGAGTCCGGAGGGTTTCATTCGGGACCATTTTAAGCATTTATGTCGATTTACTTGTAAAACCACATCAACCTTCTTAACCTTTTCCAATTTAAGCGGTTTGCTAGTGGAGACGAAAGTTATATATTTGCCTTTTGCTGGGAGACGTTCCTTTCTCTTTTTCCTGTTGGATTTTCCTCCAATGAAATGCTAATATAGCAATAGTTACCGAGCAGTAGTACAGTGTTTTCAAAAAGAATAAACAATTTTATTTTTAGGTGAAAGCTTGCATCTTAATATATTTTTCTTCATAACTTACACCAACATCAAGGCACTAATCGTATCTCACAAACAGCTTCTAGTATTTCATTTAATGCAGCAATATGTAAATGGGCGCCAGATTGGGACTATACGGAGGGTGATCAATTTTTTTTCAGTGAAATACAATGCGATCAGACCTTAAGTTTCAATGTGGACGGGTAACGATGAGCTCAAAATGGCTGCACTACAACGGTTATCAAATAGAGCAGCACACATGTATACTCGATAAGTTATCATCATCATAAGGTCGTCAGTCCTAAGACTGGTTGGACACGAACCTCCACTCTTTCCTATCCTGAGCTAATCTTTGCATTTCCCTAAAACTAGAACAACCCATATCCTTAACTATTTGCGAACAGTAATCTAACCTAGGTCTACCTCTACCCCTCGTAACTTCCGTTGCTGCCTCTAATATGTCTCTAACTAGTCCTTCAAGCCTGAGAAGGTGTCCTATCAACCTATCTCGCCTATTACTCATTGATTTTAATAGAGTCCTGTGTTCTCCTATTCTTTCTAATACCTCTTCATTTCTAACTGTCTCTATCCACGGTATCTTCATCATTCACCTGTAACACCACATTTCGAACGCATCTAACCTTTTCTTTTCCGACGCACCCACTGTCCATGTTTCGCATCCCTACAGCGCTGTGCTCCAAACATAAACCATTAACAAATTTTTTCGAATTTCTAAATTAACCGTTCGCGAGCATAAAAGTGATTTCTTTTTATTGAAGACTACTCGACCCTGCGCTATCCTCTGCTTTATATCCCTACTACTCCTTCCTTCCTCACTTATGACTTCTGACTTATGACTGACTAACTTATGACTTCCTAGTTATCTAAAATCAGTCACTTCTTCTAATTTTTCGTCTCCTACCTTTATATTTGATAAGTTGTGTGAATTATTAATGTTGGTTGAAAGTATGTAGAAAAGAAGATTAAAGTACAATTGTTAAGAAAACTGTATTTCCTACTTTCTTGGTATATAGACTTATTCGTGGAAATAAATGTCTTGAAGATGAACATTTTTAGCAGTTGATCACAGGCAGTTACTAACGGCCCCTTTACGGGAATAACTCAATTGGGCATCGAATACAGGAAGTCATTGAGAATTTAACAGATTGAACACCCTTCAGTTGGACATGGAATGACATGATCTAGAGATTCAGACCATTGCTTCTGGAGAACATCGGCTCGATTCTAGGTCCGTCTGTTCTGGTCCAAGTTTTTCTGCTGTTTGCTTGCATCAGTTAAGCAAATTTCGTTAGTCTCATCTTTCTCACCCCTGAAGAATCCGGAGGTAGTTGAATTTGGCACCAACAAATTGAATGACTTCCTTTTGTACAGACATTAGCATAACTTCTGGCAATAAAAAATGCTGAAAGTTACTATTCGCAGGAATTTTAATCTGTATTCGGAAATAGGGGTACAATCAAAGAATTTTCGCAGACGTTTGTTATTTAATAATGTCTTGTTATTTGGCTGTTTATTAGGTCGCGACAAAAAATTCCTCAGGCCTTCTAGATTTATGATTCACACGTAAACTTGCCCAGTGACAAATATTTTCGAGTTATATGATCGCGGTATGCCAGCCTTCTTAAAATAACTTGCTGCTAGGTAACACCCACAGGCGCGGTTCCCTCAATTTTATTGTATTTCATAAAGGAAGATGAATTTTTTCTGTGTAATAGTAACCTACTGTTCCAAGCACACTATCTGACAGACAACTGCCAACCGATATTGGCCTTAATATCATTTTTTTCCAAACTATTTTCCATAAGTTATCGAACATGAATAAGGATTTGTAAATGCATGGGAAAGGCGATTCGACGGACGTTAAGGAGTTTCCTATTACAAACAACATGGATTGTTGATGATGCCCCCTCCTTTACCAAAATAAACCATACGCGCCTTATTCTAAAATCGTAACTCCCAGTTCTATACTAAACGATTAACCGATAAAGTGACGAATTCTGCTTTCTTGTACAAGGTTCGTTATCGAATTTATTGATGCTTCTTATTCGCTTTTTATATATTTGCTGTTTGTTATTATACGCGAGTAAATTTTATCGGTTTCGCTATGTGGAGCACGCATTTTAATTTTTACAACAACTACACACATAATATACTATGTACCTACTTTTATTACCAACGCCATTCTATTTGCCTATCGCTTCCGCTTTAAACAAATGAATGGTCGCTTTAAGCAATTTTAATATCCCATAATATTACACGGTACAATGGGTTGGAACTCCGCTTTATTCGAAATCAAAACAGTAATAGCGAAAATATTACTCTCTCTTTAAAAAGAAAAACAAATTTTGTGTTGAAGAAAAAACTTTCAGAAATATATTCGATCTAAGTATGTAAAGTTTGACAAAGTTAATTGATAGCCGAAAAAATGTTTTTTGTACTTTTTCAGTCAATTATTTAAAATTAAAACGTCGTTATTACTATCCATATTTTAATCCTGTCTTACTATACTTTTTTCAGTTTTTATTTTTCTTAAAAAAAAAATTTAGCGATTAAACGAATTTTTAATCATATATTGTCGCTCAAGAATAATGCAAATTTAACAAAATTTGTTACAATAAACAATTTGCTTACTTATTTCTCTGTAAAATTTATTTGATAACTGCCATCTTTATGAAAAAAAAAATCATAAAATACTGCCATTTAATTGAGCTTGAGAAATAGTACTAAAAATACTATAAGTATTGTACAATTAACAGTTGTTTAATATAAAGAAGTATTAGCATAATTTGTTCGATATGTTTTAATAGCAAGCGATTTGCTTAATTGTACTGAGGTTACTTCATTGTTGCAGAAATAGGATTGGATGGCTCAACAATATCCAAAACTAGTTAACAAACAATTTAATTCTCCGATCAATTTATATTCGGACTCGAATATACGGGAAGTTATTGAAAGAGAAACCCAGCTACTCACTAACGGGGCTGTTGGGTAAGTGTCTAGTGAACGAATGTCACCAACTATGCAAATTTTGTTCGTAATTAAGTTAATTCAAAAAATAAAACAAAACTTTAAACCATTTTATCGGAAATCGCCACTCGTGCTAGCGAAACCCTAAGGCATAACGTAAAAACCTTCGAAAATATAGGGAAATTTCGGATTGTTTTGTTATATATTCTATAATCATTGATACAATAAAAAGTAATATGAAAAAAGTTTCGGGTTTCAGCTGCAAGGGTTGCTTTCTAAAATATGGGGGTTACTATCGCCCCAAAGGACTCCATATGTATAGATAGTCAGTCATGATGTAAATGCATAACTGACGTCTGGTCAAAAGGTTGTAGAATGCCACACTTTTCTTAAATGACCTATATCTGCAGGATTCGAAATTGTTTTATAATTTTCTAGAAAGTTCCAGAACGTTCCCGAGTGATAACTAATTTTTCCTGAGCGAAGCTAGGGTAATCCCGCTTGTACAATAAAATACCTAAGTAAAAGGAATTGAAACTGCGCGAATAGTAGGGTGCAAGACAGGCACTTAAAGATTGCATGATTATGGTTACGTTGCACTGCAGCCTGGCCAATAAATAACGAAAAGAGCAGATTTTTCGGAAAAGTCTGACTGCGTTTATTTATGCGATCTTAAATTATTGCTGAACGTTATACTGCAGACACTTACATTTCTAAGAATACAATGTTTACATTTTTCGAAAGTAAGCAAACTACCACATGCTTGGAGAAATACCTATCAGCTGCTATTTCATCTTTTTATACATTTACAAATTCCCTCTCATTTGTATTTCCCATTTTCATCTAACGTAATTAAGTAATTAAAATTCTTTAATTTTAAATGGAGTTTTCAAGCATTTTTTACACCACGTATCTAGAATATAAATTTTAATAGGGGACGGAAGTTACGTGCAAGTTGACCAACATACTTAGTAGTCGTCTCAAAAATATTTATACGAAAAATATGGAAATACTAGGGTTTACCAGGGGCTTCGCTCACGTCGCCCAAAAATCATCGACGACAACCTAAAACTAATCTTTCTATACTTTGGTAACAGTATTTTTTTTATTGATTAATGGTACCCATAGCTTTAAATAAAATGAAAGCGGTACTGACAGATCAGTACTGTACGAAAATAAATAAAATTAAAACTAAAATACTGGTATGCAAGGGAAGAAAAAGTAGGGAAAGAGCGAATATAAAGATAGGAGACGAAAAATTAGAAGAAGTGACTGATTTTAGATACCTAGGAAGTCAGATAAGTGAGGATGGAAGGAGTAGTAGGGATATAAAG